TGGGCTGGGCCCACTGCACTATGGAGTCTGCTCCACGTGGCTGAGCCAACTCAAAGCTGGAGACCCTGTGGCCTGTTTCATCAGGGGGTAAGGGGGCACTGCTAGGGCAGAGAGGAAGGAGAGAAGGGAAGGAGCAGCAAGAAGAGAAAGTTTGTCTGTCTAAGCAGGGACTGGAAAAAGCGCCCCAGATGGCCAGGGACAAATGGAGGAATCAGTGGTGGGTGTGCAGAGGGTGAGGTGGTAACTTTGGTAGATGTGTTATCAAAAGAAGGGAGGACTTACTTAACATGGCAAGGACAGGACACCTGACTAGTCCTGGGCCTCCAGAATGATCTGGGCCCCCTCACTAATTTGGACTAATTTGCTCTGAAACTACAGCTCCCAAAGAGTTGAGTCAGTTCCGACTCAAAGCAACCCCTCCTTGGATTCCCAAGGTGGCATCTCTACAAAGTAGATTGTCCAATCTTCCTTCCAAGGAGTGGGTGGTGGGTTTGAACCACCAGCCTTCTGGTTAGCAGTCAAATGCCTTAGGTATTATGCTACCAGAGCTCCCCCAAAGAGACAGAGCTGGGATAAACCAGAAGGCCCTGTTGCTTTTTGAAAATGTCATCTCAGTGTCCTTGGAGTCAGTCTGATGTTGGGAGGCATGGCACTCAGGGACTGTGGTACACAAGTCCCGACTTTATCCAGAGAAATGGGATGAGGATAAAAGCCATCTTTGCCCATAGTATCACTGAGGCTCAAAGAAAGTGAGGGATCTCAGGATGCCCTTCCTTTGTGCACTGTACTGTGCTCAGAAGTCTTGCTCCATCCAGCTGCCAGGAAGCTGAAAGTCTTGGAAGAACTAAGAATTCCCAGGATGATGCCAATTAGGCCTGGTGGCCCAAACCTACCCATGAGTCTAAATTACACCTACCAACAAACTAAATACAAACCAAATATCAACATTAAAGTTATTATTTAAAATAAACACACTCAGTGGACCCATTATGAACCAGAACTCTGTCCTCCCTTTCTCCATAGTTCCTAAAACTCCTCATCTCAGACATCAAAATATTCTTCAATCCAAAGTTAAACTATATTTCTTTTGGCCCAATCTCTGGAAACCACAGACTCAGGGTGTTCCTACCTGCCAGTACAGTTCTTTTAATGAACACTTGCATAGTGCTTATTGTGGGCCAGATGCTATTCTAAGCAATTTTACACTATTAACTCACTTATCAGTTGAAGCTCTCACTCTCAGGCTGACCCTGCTGCTTTTGACAACAGGGGAGTTGGGGAAGCCAAGGGAGCCTGACAGAAGGTCTTTCTGGCCAGGGCTCCTTCCTTCCGGCTGCCACCTGATCCCAGCTTGCCCTGCATCCTCGTGGGACCTGGCACAGGCATTGCTCCTTTCCGGGGCTTCTGGCAGGAAAGGCTGCACGACATTGAAAGCAAAGGTGAGGCTGGAAGCCAAAGGATTAGAAGGCCAATGGAGTTTCACAATCTAGGGGCAAGTGGGTGGAACTGGAATGCAGGAACCAGGTCTGAAAAGGAGGACTACAACCTAGGGCTACAAACATGAAGCTTATAAGACCAAAGGCGGAATGCGTAAGTAGAGGCAAGGATTCTGTTGGTCAGGTTTCCAGGTACCTGACACATAGTGGGTGTTGAAACCGATTAAGGATGCGTAGTGCCTAAGGCATTTGCCTGCTAACCAGAAGGCTGGTGGGTTTGAACCACCAGCCACTCCTCGGAAGGAAGATTGGGCAATCTACCTCCGCAGTGATACCACCTCGGAAACCCAAGGAGGAGTCACTACGAGTCGGATCTGACTCAACGGCAGTGAATTTGATTTGGTTTGGAAGGACAAACAGGAATTGAAGTCTAGAAGGAAGGGGCAAAGCTGGGACTAAAAGACAGAAAAAATGCCCCAAATAGATTCTGGACTCTGCCAGAGCTTACCTAGGTGTGTCCAAGACCTAAGGAAGGTGATCAGGTTGGAGTTGGAGTGCCCAAGATAGTATATCAAGAGACAGGAGATGTAACTGAGAATATGGGGCTGGAGATGGGAAAGGGCTGGAGAGAGTTCTAGGGGTGCAACATTAGACAAAGTAAACCCAAATCCACTGCCATCGTGTCAATTCCGACTCATAGGGACCCCCATAGGGGGCAAACCTTTTTAAGATTTAAGGCTGTAAATTTTTACAGACGCAGACTGCCTCATTTCTTTTCCACAGAGCAGCTGGTAGATTCAAACCAGCAACCTTTTAGTTAGCAGCTGAATGCCTTTCCACAGCGCCACCAGAGCTCCTTTAGACAAAGTAAAGGGTGTGAAATTATAGGCCAGAAGCCCCGACTTCTAGCACAGCTGGGCCACTGGCCATTCCACCTGAGGCACGTCACCAACCTTCTTTGAGCCATGGTCAAACTGTCAATCAGAAATAAGGCAGGATCGCTATGAAAACATTCTGAACTCTTCTAGAAAAATCCTTTTCAATGATTGCTTCAGCCTGAAAGGTTTGGGCTGTCAGCCCTGGGCCCACATAGTCAGAAGGGGTAGGAGTACCTGGGCTACGCCCCAGGGAAGGGTGCAGTGGTGAGCCCCAGTGCTATTTACAGGGCTGCAACCCGCCCCCATGACCTTGGTCTTTGGCTGCCGATGCTCCCAACTCGACCACCTCTACCGTGAGGAGGTGCAAGACGCCCAACAGCGCGGGGTGTTTGGCCGAGTTCTCACCGCCTTCTCCCGGGAACCCGACAGCCCCAAGGTGCGGACCCTGAGGACTCAGTGATAACCTGAGTGAAGACAGGGATAACCTGAATGAAAGGGGAAAAACCAAGGCCGACCTGAGCTCAGATCAGGAGCCCAGTCCCTTCACCCAGCCCCTCAGCCCCCACCCTCCATCAGACAGCACCCTTAACCCTAGAGGCCCCTTAGGCTCTCCCACTCCTGCATTAAAGACGCGCCCAGTGTTTGGTTCCACCTCTCCCGAGACTTTTCATATCCGGGGCTGTCCCCTAGGCTCCACCATCCCTAACCCCACCTCCCTCAGACTTACGTGCAAGACCTCCTGAGGACTGAGCTGGCCTCCGAGGTGCACCGCGTGCTGTGCCTCGAGCTGGGCCACATGTTCGTTTGCGGTGATGTCACCATGGCGACCAACGTCCTGCAAACAGTGCAACGCATCCTGGCAGTGGAGGGCGACATGGAGTTGGAAGAGGCCGGCGACGTCATCGGCGTACTGCGTGTGCGAAAGGGCGAGGCCTGAGCACAGGAAGAGGGGGAAGGGGACGGGAGAGGGAAGAGGGGACGGGGATGGGGGAGGGGACGGGGAAGGGGAGGGGATAGGGGAGGGACGCGATGGGGGTAATACGGGTGAGGGCGGGGTCCGGGTCCAGGTCGAGGAGGGAGCGGAGCCCAAGCGCCCCCCCCCCCACCTGAGTCCTGCTCAGATCTCAGACTGCTTCTGAGCCAGGGCCCTCCTTCCCTGCAGGATCAGCAACGCTACCACGAGGACATTTTCGGGCTCACCCTGCGCACTCAGGAAGTGACAAGCCGCATTCGTACTCAGAGCTTTTCCTTGCAGGAGCGGCAGCTGCGGGGTGCAGTACCCTGGGCTTTCGACCTGCCAGGCCCAGACACCCCTGGCACCTGAAAGCCCTTTTTCTTTCTACTTCAGTTCCGGGGAGAATCTAGCCATCTTTCCCTCCCTTCATGTGGTGCTTGTCCACGTCTGTCTGTCCAAAGTCTGCCGGAGAATCAATCTCATTCCTGGGAACAGGGCAAAATGTCTCCTATCTTCAGGCCCATTTCCCTAACTGGGGTTGGACTAAATCTGGAAGGCCCTTTCCAGCAGTAATATTCCAGAATCTACTATTACCTCCTTTGTACTGTTTTTAGATTACGTTTAGATTCCCCTTACCTCTCTTCAGGAGGTAAACCTAATCGCTGAATCATTTAAATATTTATTATTAAATATTTACCATAAGAGATTGTGTCAAGGGTTAGTGAGTGATGCTAAGATATCTAATAACATTCTAATAACTTCACAGTCAAATACAACTATAGAATGGAAAGCTTTGCCTTTTAACTTGGAGTACCTTTGTACAGGTGTGGGGTAGCAGTTATTTGACAGGATTCCACCCCTACTTACCAAGGAAAAGCCTACACTCTCCACATTGACCCAGTTTTCTAGAAAACACTGCTTCAGGAAGCTCTGCTCCCTTTTTTCTCCATTAAGGATTGAGGAAGCAGGTAGGACTTGGGGTGGGTGTGCCAGAAGACCACAGTCACAAAGACATAAACACAGCTATAAACAATCTTTACTGCTGATTTCATACAAGATGATGAACCCCACCCACTTCCTAAGACATCACACAGAACTGCAAAACATTAGGCCTCTGGAGTCATCCCATTCATAGTCTCCACCCCACCCCACCCACCACCTTCACTATAAGTCCATGAGGACCTAAAGGAGAGCTAAAGCCTCATTGTTTCCCTGACATTAGTTTGGCCTCCACCTTGGCCCCTGCCTGCCCTCCTCTTTGAGGAAATTTTAACCAGTTGGGGGCCTCCCCTCATCCCACCCTCCCAATGTGGGGACCATCTCTAAACTTGTTTCCAGATGCCTTTAGCATCTTCTCTCCCACGCTCCACTGGTCTCAGGGGTGAGTTCCTCATTGACTGCCAGGTCCTGCCCAAAAAAGGCATCCCTGGGTCTGTAATCTGGGGGATGGCAGATCTCTGAAAAGAGCTCAGTGTGTCCTCCATTCCACTCCTTCCAATTTCCTGCACCTGGAGAAGCTAGGCGCCTGTGGGAGGAGAAAGCTCTTGGCAAGCAATCTGGGGGTCTAGATTCCAGAGATTGCCATCCCATCACCCCAAATTCCCATCACTATTCCAATCCCTCCAAGCCTGGCTCCACCCAATTTCCTACTCATTCCTTTCTCCCTCCTCAATATTTAATTTTCCCCCTCTCCATCCCAAATCAAACCATACTGACACTTGAGGCAGTTTCTCAGTCAGTACTAGGATTCTGACAAGGCTCCTGCTGGATTTCTGTGGTCTCCTGAAATTCTCCAGGAAACAGATTCTGGGTCCTCTGCACTCTCCACTGCTGTCTGGGGCTGGAGACAGGACTGGAGCCTGGTAAGAAATCCATCAGGTGGGCAATGCCCTTGATGCCCAGTGTCCACCCAATGTCTGTTCCCTGGGTACCCCAACTCCTCACCATCACTTGACCAGGATGGCTTCTCCTCATCAGGTGAGAGTGGATGTGAGGAGCTAGACCAGGGTCTTGACAATGAAGAGGCTGAAGCCTCTCCCCACAGTTCCCGCTGCTGCTGATGATGAAGCTAGATGTAAGGGAAGAGGAATGAGGGACAACTCCTGCCCTGAATACAATGTTAAACCCCTAAGCCAAGTAGAGGGTTTTTAAATCCTCTCTGCCAGTTTCTGTTAAATATTTCCTTAGATTCTAGCCCTCTCCCCAGTCTTCATGTTGTTCACCTCCTTTCTCCCCCACCTTTCTCTTTTCTGCACCCCTCCACTCACCTGATGCAGATAGATGGCATGGAGACTCATCTCAGCAGAAGCAAGCTCTGGGAGCTGTGCCAATTTCTGGCCCCCAGTGCCTCCTGGGGACATACAGCTGGAGCACAGAGTGCCATAGATCAAAAAGACATAGCCCTTTCATCACTAAACCCCATGGCAAGGGCCAGACTTGACCTCCCCTTCCCAATCTCCCCACAATGCCTCATCTCCTTCCGTATGGAGGAGCAGTTCCACAACCCACACTGCCTTATGTTTCAGGCCACCACCTGGGGTCCTGGGCAATCCGGGATATGGAGGTCAGGAGGCTGGCTGTGGCTGCAGCTGGGCAAGGGGCTGTGGGGCTCAGATCCCTTGAGGGCAGGAGTGGGTGCACCAAGAGGTTGGCCAGGAAGGCCTCTGGCTAGAAGCAAAAGAAGAAAAGCAGAAGAGAGAGTCAGAAGAGAGGGCAAAAAGGGAGGGAGGAGGTCTAAAGAAAGCAAGAGAATAGGCTGGTTTGGGCCAGTGTTGCAGGCTAGTATAAATGGTGAGGCAAGAGAAGAAAAGAGAGGTGAGGGGTTAGGAGGTGGCAGGGGAGTAGGCCTAGGACTCACTAGAGATGAAGTAGAGTCGCTGAGCTGCCCAGGGGTAAGGGGGCTGCGGACTGAGGCTGTGCCCCATCTGGCTGCATCTTGTTGAACTAGGCCCCGAAGATGACACAGAAACTTAGAGCTGTGCCCTGAAGGGCGCCATTGTGGATGTGCCAGGGAGAATCTCATCAAAGAGAGCTCTGTCTTTCCATCTTCTGCACGCTGACCCAGTGAGGCCTCTGTTTGTCCTGCTGAGAGCCACTGACAGCAAGAACAGTCCTTCAGGTGCTGTTGACACCGCTTTATAGCTACAATGGGAACATTAAGGGGCAGGCAGGACAGGAAACACTATCCAAGAAACTGAGGCCAAGATGGAGCCTAGCTCAAGTTCATCCAAAAGTACAGCAGCAGGGCAGGGCCTGGGTCTGAATCCAATACAGGGATACAGCACAGACTTTACGGGTTGTAGGCCTGTACATATGCAGTCCCCCAGCAGACTCTGGCTTCCTTGGTAGGGAAGCCATCTTTACTCCACCCCACCCACTGACCAGCCGTTTCTCCACCACTCTGGTGGTATTAGCTATTACACCAGGAACCTGAAAAGTGCTCTACATACATCATCTCATTTAACCCTCCCAACAGCTCTGGATATTGGTTACTACCAATGTCTTCATCTCACATCTTATAGATGAGGAAAAGAAGACCCAGGAAGTGGAATGACTTGCTCAAGGTCACAAGCGGCAAGTGAGGAGCTAGGATGCAAACGCCTAGTTGACCTTAATTAACACTACTGTAAGCCAGAAAAGAGCTCTAACCTGAGGGTGGCCATGGCGCTTAATGTCCATAAGGGCAAAGGAACAAATGTCCCCAACTCCGGCCACATCCACAGTGAAATGATGAAAAAAATCAATAATCTCCAGGGCACGAGGACGAAGCCAGAAGAACAGAAACAGAGGGGTGAGCAGAGGAGAAAGGAGCTCCTCCAGGAGGGAGATCTGGGGAACAGAGAGAAAAAGGCTGAGGAGGAGTTGCTAAGGAGGGCCCACACCAATAATTAAGACCAAGAGACCCCCCAGGGGCACTCGCCAGGTCAGGAAACCTCCCACCCAGTCACCCTCTAGGCCCAAAGTGGCCTTTGCCTTAGGTGCAGCCCCTTCTGGGCCCTCCCCACTCCCACCCTCACCGCCCGATACTGCAGCAGTTGTGCCATCTGCCGGTAGGCGCCGACGTTGCGGACAGGACCTGTCTTGCCCGCAGGGCCAGGCTCTTCTGGGAGGTAATGCATGTGAGCCAGAGCTGTCTGGAGGAGGAGAGCCGCAGAGCGGCCCTGTAACTGCTTCTCGGGAAGGAAAGACCTGGAGGCGAGATGGGGTGAAGAAAGGGCCCGCTGTTAGAAGGACTTGTGAATAGCATCCAGAAGCTGGCAGGAATCGGGCTCCTGGGCCTCCCGTCGCACCTGGCCACAGTGGCCGTCACACCGAGCGCGGTCATGGCGGTGAGCACGTGCTGCACGGTGAGTACGTCTTCGTCGTAAACTGTTAGCACAAGAAGCGCGGCGAAGAGCGCGCCCGCATAGAAGACGAGCTGGCGCGCCAGCAGCTCAAGAAGAGGCGCGGGCGGCGCGGCGGCGCGCAGGAAGGCGGTGGCTGGGCGGTAGGCGCGGGCCAGGCGCGCACGCAGCTCGTGTGGCAGTTCATTGAAGTGACGCAGTTGCAGACGCGCCAGCCGCGACCAACCGCGGGTCCCGAGCGTACCCGGCTCTCGCCGCAGCAGCTCGGCGTGGCTGTAGAAAGCGTACAGCACCTGCCAGGCCAGCACCAGCGGGCTCAGCGCTAGGTTGGCTGCAGCTAGCAGCAGCGTTGCGCGGCCCAGGCGCGCGGCCAGAACGCCACGCAGCTCTCTGCGTTTATAGGCCTCAGGCAGCTCCCAGCCGCCTCGGAAGAGCGAGAAGGGACCACGGAAGAGGAGTAAGTCGATGTTGAGCGCCAGGCCGCGGCTGAGGAAGGCCATGTCCCCTCCGCAGGGCAGCGGGCAGCGGGCAGGCAGCAGGCCCTTATTGGCCAGGGCCACCTGGTAGTTGGCGTAGCGCAGGATGCGATGATGGACATCTAGTTCTGTCAAAGGCCGCGGCTGCACACACAGCCCACCACTCCTCTGCAGCGACAGAAGGCGGGACTGCACCTCTGCCCATGGCATGGAGCTGAGCTCCTCCTGAAGAGAGGGAAGTGGTGAGCACCAGCCACCCTCAGAATCCTCTGCCAGTGATACCCAAATTCAGTTCCCCCAAAAGGGCTTCTAAAATGTGCCACAAACTCACCATGACCAAAACTACACTCCTCCCCTCTCCCACCTTCCACAGTCCCAGCTTCACTCAGACATGAAAACTTTCACCTTTCTTCCCTCTCTTGACTCCCTCAATCCTGTATCCAGTCCTCACTAACAAAGCACTTCCTATTTCTTTTCATACTCTGTTGAACCACTCTGTTCTCATAGTCCCTGCTACTCATGTGGCCATCAGTAGTGTGTTTCCTGGTGATACCTCACTAGTTAGCTCTTCAAGCGTATAGTCTGGCTTATCAATTGCATTGTGAAATCCTTAAGAACAAGTTTTTCTGATCCCCCTCAGTCAACACATAGAAGACATAGAATGCTGGCAGCTAATAGGGACATCTCTCCTTGCCCATTTCTCATATACCTGCCAACTCTTGTCCAGAATCCTCACCACTTTTTGCCTCAGCTTGCTTTGAGACCCCAGCCCTGTCCTACTTCAGATCCCGTTGCACTCCATCACCAGATTTACGTTCCTAAAATACTGGCAGTGTCCGTGCCTCAGAGGCTGTTAAAGTTCATTTGGAGGGCTACAACCTCATTTTAGCCCCATTTCACCCAGCTTCCCTAGTCCAGGTTAGTCAAGTCCCTCCAGGGCAGCCTTTCCAGTTCATCCCAATGTGTCCCCTTCCCCTGGAAAGAGTAGGGAAAGAAGGAAAAGAAGGGAGAAGGCAAAAGAGAAGGGTTAGCAGTGGTCAAAGCCTGTTCTCCCATGCCTCTACTTCCCTGGCTCTCCCTACGTCTGTCTGCTCTATGCTTTAGGCTCCCTGACTCAAAAGAGCCTTCAAAAACCTTTCTCCTTTATTAGAAGAGGTGTACAGAAGATTCTGGACTTCTGAGGGGGAACAGGGAAGCTTGTTGCAGAAGATAGCCTCTGAGCTATTGCCTTAAAGAAAGTATTTAAGTACAGAGCATAAAGGAACACGAAAGGAAAGAAAGGCCAAAACATGACCAGAAAACTGTGAAAAGGCCAACCTCATGGCTTACTGAAATAGGAGGTAAGACTAGAAGACAGGTGTTAGTCACCTGATAGAGGGCCTTGAATGCCAGACTAAGGGTTTGAACTTTATCTTGGGGTCTCAGGGGGCCACTGAACATCCAAGTGGAGGGGCAGGGGCCCAAGGGCCAGAGCAGTGTTAGGAAGACTGAGCAGAGGGTTAGTTGATGTTCTGTGCAGGGAGTACTTCCAGAAAGAATGCTCAGTTGCAGCTAGTGCCTCAGTCTCCTCTGCTGCCCATAGATGTTCACTGATTTTCTCTATCTTCCTGCACCAGGGCTTGGAATGCCCTCCTCTCCTTGCCTGTTCTTCCAAGCCCACTCAAAAGCCAGATAATCCTATTTCCACTAAACACTTATTGTTTCTACCACAAACACGAGACTATAAATCATCTTATGTAAATAAACTAAGCTCCATTAGGGTAAGAACCTATTATGCAAGTTATGCTCCCCATCACCTAGCATTATTCTGGACCTAGGATAGGTGTCAATAAGGCCTAACCCTTTCTGCTCTTTCCAATTGGTCCCTCCATATGTACAGCCCTCACTCCTTCCCCTGACTCAACACTCTGTCATGGCACCCTTCCATCCTTCCACTCAGGCACACCCACTCAGCTCACCGGGGAAATGTGCAGAGCCTCCCTGTAAAATACTTGGATGTCCCAATAGCTGAAAAGGTTCCAGACTGAGCAAAGCAGCTGGAACAGCCAGAAGCCCACAGCCAGGACCAGTAGGAAGACCAGGAGTGGGCTGGAATGGATCCTGTATGGGGTTAGACAGATAGTGAGGAAAAAGGTGGGAGCCCAATAGTAATGGAAAACAGTCAGGGGGCACAGGGATGCACCTAGACCAGTAATTCTCAAAATGTGGTCCAGGGACACCTGGGGTGTCTGCAAGATCCTTACAAGGATCTCAAAAGTCAAAACTATTCACATAACACTAAGGTGTTTTGTGCATTTTTCATTCTTATTCTCTCATGAATGTACTGTAGAGTTTTCCAGACGCTTCATGACATTGAACATGTCATCACACAGACAGCCAATGGAATATGTGCTTATACGTGCTTATGTTTTAAAAAATGTTCTTGGCTTTAATATCTAAAAGGGTAAATACAAGGAGCCCTGGTGATACAATGGTTAAGTGCTTGGCTGCTAACCAAAATGTCAGCAGTTCAAACCCACAAGTGGTTCCACAGGAGAAAAATCCTGGTGATCTGCTCTCATAAAGATTACAGCCTGAGAAACCTGTGTGGCCATTCTACTCTGTCATATAGGGTCACTATGAGTCAGAATTGACTTGACAGCACACAACAACAAATGCAGGATAAATATAAGTAGATTTTACCCTCATAAACAAAAGCTTGTATCAATCAAATTTAAGTATATAAAGACATCCTGAGATGAAAGTTTGAGGACTACTGATCTAGGTCAAGGGGCAAAAGGAGTGGGGGCTCTTGTCTATTCCTCTCCCCAGCATGGCTGTCCTGCCCCCCAGGATGTCACTCACCGCTCAGCACACTGGGCCGAGGATAGGATGGCATCTGACAAGGTCACTTTGCTGTGGAGCAGCCCAGATCTAGTATGGTTATTTGGTTGATTGGCAAAGAGAATGTTGTAATCCACACAGCAAAGGAGGAAGGTTGTGAAGGTGACAATGAAAACAAATTGTCTAGGGGATACAGGGATGAGGCAGTGATGAAGTCTGATGGCCAGGCAAGCTGCTGGTCCCAGCCCCAGACAAGCCTGGAGTCATCCTCCCCACTCGGCTAGACACTGGGCTGCTCAGAAAATCATCAGGTGCATTAGAAGTAGGTGCCATTAAGGAAGCAAGATGATAGGAGGGCCCCAGAGGACAGAGTTTGGTGTCCAGGATAAGCATCTTACCCCAGCTGGAAGACATCATCCAGCAGGATACAGGCAAAGCCATTTCGCTGGTGATAGCTGTAGATGTGTCAGGTTCATCAAGGAATAAGCAAAATGGGCCTTTCCTGAAGACACCACCCCCTCAATACTCCCCAGCAAGCCCCCTAGACCCACTCACAACCTCTGAGTCTCCCTGCCAAGAGTGATGCTGGTCCAAAAGAGGCTTTTTGCCTGTCCTGGGTCCAAAGGATATCTTGGTAAAGAAGCTGTCCAGGTTCTGGATGTGATGCCAGGAGCCTAGGCACAGGGGAGAGCACTGGAATGTGGCACTCTCAACTGAGTGTTCAGTTTTCCTCTCCCCCTACTAGTTGCCAGAGGACCAGCCTGGTTTAGGTAAGCCAATAAGCCCCACACCCCCACTCACATACACACTTACCCCGGAGCCCTTCAGGTACATGAAGCAGGGGTTGCTGCTCCTCCCCGTGGAGGGGTGAATCTTGGGACCCGTCAGGTTCACAATCCTCCAGTCTTTCATAATCCTGCTCTGGGACCAGAGGGCCTATCCGAAGCCCAGGAGGTTCCTGGGGGCATCGGCATGAGGGAGGGGGAGTCACCGAAGCCGGGGGGGAGTGGAGTGGGATCCCCACGTGGGGGAAGCAGACATCGTGGGCTTTGCCCGTACTGGGGAAGAGATGGCACAGTGGCAAGGCTGAAAAGCCCCTGACACCTGCAGCACTGGGTCGGTGGGGGCCAAGGCCAGAGGGAGAAATGAGGAGGGGAAGCTTCTTGTATGAGGAACAGGGGACGGAGAGAAGACGGAAATCCTCCCTCCCCCAAGTCCCCAACACGAAGTAGGAGGAGGTGGCAGCATGGGAAGAAGGGGCACTGATCCAGGCCCCAGGTCTCCCCATTGTCCCAACCACTCCCAGTCCCCCACCCCCCACCCCATTCGGCTCACCATCAGGCTGGCAGCTTTTCTGGAAAGGTTGGAAGGATGGGAGCTGCTCCTGTTTCCACAGAGGTCTGGGAAGCTGAGCAGGGACTTCAGACAGCAACAAGGATAATAACAACACCACTAGGTGACTCAGTGGGGCAGGCCCAAGGCATTCCACTCACACCCCTTCCAGGGCCATCTGCTGCCAAGCCTCAGGGCCCTGGGCCTCCCCAGCTAGGTGGGCTTGGTTCTTTAGCATGTGCCTGGGTGTGGTATCTTTTGAAGTGGCAGGAGCTGAATAAGCACATTGAGAAAGAGGAGATGCCTATTGTCTTCACCTTCAAACCTTGAGCAATGGCAGAATAACAAAGGAGAAAAGTAAAAATCCTAAAATTATAGAACTATGGGGGGGGTCAAAATGTTAAATCTTTGGTTTTAAAAATCTCAGCCTTCCCCCACTGTGATCAACAGAGATAAGCAGCCAGATTGGGGAAAACTGAGAGGAAGGACATGAAGAAAGGATAGGAGACTATCTTGGATTTGAGAAGTGGTTTTCGTAGCTTAAAGTAGAAAAGTGAGGTTCCTTTGAAGTTCTATTGTGTTTACTTTTTTTACCTTCTTAACCTTTGACCTTCCCTCCCTTAAGCCCTGATCAGTTTCTGGGGGCCCCTGCATGGCAGCAGTGCTGACCAAGAGACAACAACTAGAGGTCCAGAATTTGGAAGGATAACTTGGATACCCAGAGTTGAGTTCCTTGTTGCCACCTCAACAAGAAGGAGGAAGTTCAGGCAGCTAGTCTGGTGGCTTGCCCAACGCCATTCTTGAGGCCCTGAGTCACCAGGCTTCCTACTGATGTCCATTCCTGAGGTATTGGCTCATCACCCAGGTGTCAGGGCCTTCAAGGCTGTCTTAGAAACCGGTATCCGTGAAATAGAGGAACACAGTACTTCCCAGATCAGACACTGGAGGACTGTAGAGGAAATGGGAGTTGCCCCCCAACACACACACGCACAAAACTCACTGCCATCAAGTCAATTCCAACTCATAGTGACCCCCTTTGGGTTTGTGAGGCAGTAAATCTTTAGGAAGTAGATTGCCCAGTCTTCTTTTTGCAGAGTGGTCAGTGGGTTTGTCCACTCACTCACAAAACTTGAGTATAGATTTACCTATTTTCTCTTTCTATGACTCCATCCTATGAGGGAGATTGGCCTAGTATCTCAAGATATGCATAGCTTTAGCACTGAGGTGGAACAGAGCTGAGAATAAGACCTACTTCTTCTACAGTAGGTATTCTAGTATCTAAAATGGAATCCTATATTGTAGAAGGAATAGGAAATTCCCTCAATCTTCCAGAGTCCCATGTCTAGATAGGTTACACGGAGAGTTTGTCTGCTCTCACCCCACCTAACTTACCTCGATATTCCTTATACTCACATTCTGATCCTTCCCGTGCATCCTGAGCTTCCCAGTCCAACCCCAAATTAGTCCTGGCACATTTTCCTACTCAGTTCCACCAGATTCATAGAATGATAGCCATCTTACCACTCATCTCCATCCCCACCACCAATTCAACTTATTATGAATGGCACTTTTCCCTGCTAGGCATTTAGAGGGTAGAGAGAGGGCAGTGGATGAATGAGAGAGAGCCACTGCCTGAAAAAGAAGTCACAGCCCAGTGGGGGAATCAAATAGGCAAATACAGTAATTACAGGAAGTAAGTAAGCATAAACAGGGTGCAAGTGCTGAGCAGCAGGAGGCTAAGACAAGTCAGTTCTGACCCAAGTGAGGAAGGCTTCTGTAGGGAGATAGATAGGAGGTTGCACCTCGGTAGGCTACAGAACCTCCATACCGGTGGTTTCCAATCATTGAGAGTATCAGAACCACTGAAATGCACAATTTTTCCAAAATACTGTGGCTGCCAACTCAAGACATGTGGTAAGGCAGGTGTGGTGTTATTGTTGTTAGGTGCCATTGAGTCGGTTCTGATTCATAGTGACCCTATGTACAACAGAATGAAACACTGCCCTCCTGCGCCATCCTCATAATTGTGGTTATGCTTGAGACTATTGTTGCAATCATGTGTCAATCCCTGTCATTGAGGGTCTTCCTCTTTTTCACTTTATTCTCTGCTTTACTAAGCATGAACTCCTTCTTCAGAGACAGGTCCCTTCTGACAACATAACCAAAGTACCTGACACTAAGCCTAGCCATTCTCACTTCTAAGGAGCATCCTGGCTGTATTTCTTCCAAGACATATCTGTTAGTTCTCTGGCAGTCATATTGAATATTTTCAATATTCTTCACCAACACCACAATTCAAATGCATCAGTTCTTTGGTTTTCCTTATTCATTGTCCAGCTTTCCACATGCATATGAGGCTATTGAAAAGACTGTGGCTTGGGTCAGGATGCCTTAGTCTTAAAAATGACATCTTTGTTTCTAACACTTTAAAAAGGTCTTTTGCAGCAGATGTTCCCAGTGTAGTAAGTTGTCTGATTACTGGTACTTCCATGGGTGCTAATTGTGGATCCAAGTAAATTAAATCCCTGACAACTTCACTTCTTTCTTAATTTATCATGATATTGCTTACTGGTCCATTTGTGAGGAGTTTTGTTTTCTTTACATTGAAGTTGAGAAAAACTCCCCAGTCCATATTTTTGTTCATTCGTCCTCCAGCACCAGCGCTGTACACTCCCGGGAGAGCCTGGGCGGTCTAGAATCTACCAGAAGGACCATAGGAAAATGGCCTCGGGCTCAGCCACTGACAGTTACTTTGGATATCCTAGAGGGCGTGCCTGAACACTCAAAACTTCACCCAGGAGCTCACTCGCTCAGTGTCCCTGGGCAGCGCCCGCCCTGCTTCGCCCCGCCCAGAGGCGGGGGCAGCGCCCGCCCTGCTTCGCCCCGCCCAGAGGCAGAGCCAGCTAAGTGTGCATTGCTTTCCAATCACAGTTCTAGGTGCTGTCGGGCCCAGCACGTTTTCTCCAATCAGTCCTAGAGATGAGAATGACGTGCCTCTTCTCTAATCATAGCTGAGGCGCGAGAGGGCTGTCGGGAGGGTGTGATAGTCAACATGGAGCCCTCGGTTAGGGCTAACTGATGTTACTCTCCCGCCCCATCATGTTGGTGCACTTATTTCGGGCCGGCATTAGGGGTGGGTATGTTCCAAGAAAGCCGCTACTGTTCCGAATCCAGACGTTCACGACCGTCAGGTAACAAAGGGCCACCCTTGCATTGTGTAGGGGGTAGGCGATTGTGGCTGACAGGGGCGGTACCCTCTGGGAGACGAAGTCACTGGTTGCGTGAAGCCTGCCGGGAGTTTCCGGTAGAATCGGCCGGGTGAAATGTCATTTTCTCGGGATCGGACCTCAATTATTGATAGCGACGGTTCGGGTCAGCGGGAGGCTCCGCGTATTTATTGTATGTGTGTGAGACGGATGGAGGGGACTTTCAGGGTCAGTGGACACGCTCCGTCTCATTCCCACCAGGGGGCGCCATACTGCACCGATAGTCTGCTGTTGGATGGCCACTAGGCAACTGACCTCGTCCTTGGAATTAGTCCACAGATTTGGACATTTTTTATTGATGTCTAGAGATATCTAAGGGAGCTCTGGTACCATAGTGCCTAAGACACTTGACTGCTAACCAGAAGGCTGGTGGTTCAAATCCACCAGCCAGTCCCGGCAAGGAAGATGGGGCAATCTACTTCCGTAGTGACACTGCCTCGGAAACCAAGGAGTGATCGCTATGAGTCGGGTGGGACTCGAGGGCAAATTACAACAACAACAACAGAGATAACTAATATAGGTGGTGTCCCTAAGATTCAAAATGAGCTGAACAAAAATGGCCCTTGGGTCTAGATAATTTCATCAAGTTAATAACTCTTACATGTGTTTTTGGCGAAGCACTTTCTTTACAAACTTGGTTCCAAGAAAGACGGGTGGGAAACAAGGACCCTAAAACTACAACTTAAGTGTAAATGCTTTATGAGAAGGGAGTGATTTCCTGAAGAGAAGGCAGGTAAAAGATTCCCAGGTGGATGTGGAGTTGTTGGTGTCATTTGGAAAGCCAGTCTGACTGATAGAGGGCAAGAGCTGGAGCGAGCTAGAGCTAGAAGTGCTGATGCTAGCAATTCTTGGCAATGACCAAGCCATTCTCAGAGTCTTTGGAGAAAATGAGAGAAGCTGGAAATGGCCATGATAAATTATTAAAAGGATTGAAACAGTTCTTGGGAATGAATAAAGGTATTGATATTTAAACCAGAGAGAAACCCAAGAAAAACCATCAGATAATATTCAAGTATATGTGTGTTCATTATTGCAGTGTTTTCAGACATATAAATCACAGCATGTTAATAGGTCATTAAATGAATTTAGAGGGTCAGGACCATTTAAAAAAGTGACTATAATAGAAAATATTAGAGTACATGTTAAAAATTAGGATAAGTATTGTTTTACAAAGCATTTCAGTTTCATGTAATGTATATATGTTGATATGTATTGGATTGCAATGTTACTCTCAGTGTTGTGTACACTGTCAATTTAAACCTCATAGAACTCCATAGGACAGAAAACAACTGTTCTATAGGGTTCCCCAAGCCTATACTCTTTACCAGAGCAGATCACCAGGTCTTTTCACCCGAAGAGCCACTGGTGGGTTCAAACTGCCAACCTTTCTATTAGTAACTAAGCACTTAACCATTGCACCACCAGGGCTTCTATGGGTTGCAATGTAAAATGTATTTATTACTGTGGACCACAGTAAGCCTAAAAGTTTCAAAACACTGCAGATCTGTAGATCAGTCAGATTATTCTTCACCTCTAATGAGGGTATGGGAGCTCTGGTAGCATAATGCATATAGCTTTTGAGTGCTAACCAGAAGGCTGGTGGTTCAAACCCACCAGCCACTCTTCGGAAGGAAGGTTGGGCAATCTCCTTCCGTAGAGATACCACCTTGGAAACCCAAGGAAAGGTCGCTATGAGTCAGATCTGACTCAATGGCAGTGCATTTGGTGTTCTTTTTTTTT